AAATCAAAAAAAAAATTCATCGCCCTTTGACATCTCTCCAACCCTCTCAAATCCAAAAAAAATGACAGCCGCGCTTCGCAATATTTTCAAAAAAATTGTGTTCTCTAAGTAATTTGTTCATGTCGTTGTATGTAATAACTGCCCTCTCTAGGAGAATGCTTCGTTTTACAATTTTTATGAAGAATCCCCGCCTCAATAGTAACTGGTTTGGAGACTTTGCAAAAAGTCCTCATGTCATGCTCTAGGAAGCTATCGTATGTAGCCTTCAGCATTGCTCACACAAGTTACGCTTGTCCACACCTATTCACCAACATCTTCTTGAAGGTCTATCGATTCACGTAAAATCGATAGCATTGTACAGAATAGATACGATCGATATTTGTACGTCAGGCAATCTATATTTGTAAGTGTTAAGCTTGGTGTCGAATTGTTCTCTGGTTTGATATGCAAATAAATTTCCGCCAACGGAAAAGAGAATGAGGACTGAAAGGGAAAATAAGTCCCTGCTATACAATTAGGAAAGTCCAACCAATGTGATCACTATCGTACGTATCTCGAAGCATCAAAACGCGCTTGTGTTCTTCTATTGTGACTTCTACTGCACCTGTGTATGCAAGCAAAACATGGAAGTGCGTGGCGAGCCTAGTCAAAGGATGGATGCTTTAAAACAGAGGTGCCTGCAAAGAATTTTGGAGATACGGTACAGGGATCACGTCACAAACGAGGAAGTTCTGGCTCGCTCTGGCATAGTCTCCACGTGATTGTGGCACGACGTAGGCTGTGGTCGATCACGTGTTGGGTATACCGCAGCAGCGTATCCCCAAAAATGGCCAGGTATTGGACAAGGAGCCAAGCGAGGAAGAGGCCGTCCCAGAATACGTGGAGAAGAACATCTGACAAAGACTTCAAAGTCAGAAATGTTGCTAGGGACGAAGGAGAAGGTATTGCACAGGATCGACAACAGTGGAAAGACTTCATCGCACGACATGCCCAACGTCATGGGAATAACTAAGTATAAGTAAATAATACAATTCATCTCCAAGATTTATCAAAAGGTAAAAACAGGCTGGATGACATTCACCTACGTTATCGCCTCACCACAGGATCGCAAGGTTTTTCGTTAACAATCAGCTGAAACACTTCCGGACGACTATAATGGCCCACTGTATCCAGGTCCATCTTACCACAAGCGATTTGTGAGAGATCTGCATCTACATAGCTAAAAACCTTGATGTTGATGAACTGTTCAAGTCCGCATCACAGCCCAAAACATGCTTACTGTATGAGTTCCCTGGTGAAATCAGGTTCGACAAGAATTGTTCCTAGAGGGTCAATTGCGCAGGAACCGCCTCGAATCAAAACCTTAAACGTAAATCCATAAAAGTTCAAAAGTAGACTTTTTAAAACAGCTTTTCCAATTTTGGTACACACCTTATCATCACCATGCTTTACGCGTATCGGGTGATTCTCCGGGTATGCCGACGACGTCATGAACTGAGCTGAAGAGAAGACGAAACATCTGAACAAACCCAAAATTATGTTCTCCAATTTTTCGAACTTATGCCTATCACGGCTAGTTCCAGATTTCATGCATTTATCCTCGATTACTGTCCCGCCATAGCTGTGTAGCGGAAACTGGGGGCGCATCGTTTCGCGCGTCCGTCGAAACTAGGTCACGCCGCAGCCGTCCCAGCGGCGTGTCAGCCCGCGATCTTTGGCAAACGTTACAGTTGTCAACGGGGCATACAAATTGCGCTCGTCCAGGGCAGTCAACTTGAAGTGAAGATAACACGGACTAGTGCAAATCGTTCGCTCCACTGACACCTAGCCGTATTACACCGTCACCTCGAGATCGCAGTGGGCTGCACCGCGCGCGAAGTGGGAAGGGCGACCTAGTTTTGACGGACACGCGGAACGGACGTTTCCTCGGATATTCAATGGAATATTGGATTATCAGGAAATTGCCCAACTTCGCCGTCCATATACAATATCAACCTGCTTGCATTCGAGGACGGTCACGCGATTTTGACCGAAATGAGCGGAGTGGAAATTCCTATGAGTTTAAGGATTTTCCTGTTTCCAGGAAGAGCTTTAAACTCGAGGAATTTTCGCCAAACAGTTTCCGGAACGCGTTGTTCGACCTTTTGAGAAGTTGGAAATGGGGTTCGTTGTTCTTTATGTTTTATAAGAAAAGCAAAAAAAAAAATGAAGGAAGAACTGTTCTTGGCAAATCACAGTTCAGTCGCTTGTAAACATAGTTAAAGGTACAGTTCACGATAATTTCGAGGTACCCCTTTTCAGTCGAAAAGCGGAAGCATAGGGTGGGAATAGTTCATCGGTAGTGAAGAAAGCGAGAGAATTCGCCGATTTCTAGAAGAATATGGGTCCTCAAAATTAGGGAAAATAAATGTTGGACGAGATTGCCATGATGGAAATAACATGGAGGTGGTATTCGGACGAGATGTCAGTTGTTGCGATTGCACGAACAGCTGACTACATCAAGTCAGATCTGTACAGAACTGTCTTTCACTGTCGCTATGGGTTATGACAAGTTGTTCGAACTTTCTACATGGATTCCGTTGTGACCGGTGCAGCCCATGAAATGCCGGTGAAACTCGTCCGAGGATACACACAGGCCAATCTTTGGGCCTTTAGAACCTCTAACTAGGCCGATTTCCGACCTAATAGTGCCAGCTATGGTATACGCGGCGGCCTTAAATTCACCCTGTACGGGAATTTCAGAGAACATTTCATCGTGAGCTGTGCCTTTAAACAACGATTAGATATGAGAATACACTCTATGACTTACCTGCCTTCGAGAGCAATTGTTCTCATAGTAGACAACCATGTCTCACGATCATCCACAGTACAAGCTAGGTACAACTCGATACCTGAAATATTTAGTTTCATACCCAATTGAACAGCTTGGATATTTTGATTGAAGGTAGCAGAAGAACCATTGAATCAAGCCGGTCAGGAGAGACGACCAACCCTAAACAAGACCTTCATTTGAAGTTCTGCCTTAACTCAAAGTAGGTTTCCCAGTTCCGAGCTGCTTCGAGAGAACGTTCCCTTGAGATGAGCTGTACAGCTTACGATTGTGCCTAATCATTCTCATCAATTGAGTCCCCATTTAACCGATAGTTATCTGCTTCATTCATTGAACAGCTTCATGAATTGGAGTAATCTCTGCAAGCCCCCGCCTTGGACAGTGGACATCTGACTGTTCCGAGAGATAAAGAAAAGTTTTGAACCTATGGCCCACCTACCACACACGGTTGGTGGTGATCCTTGAAATGATCATTAGGTACGAAATTACATTCACAGGACGACCTGCCTTCCTAATGTCAGGAAACTTCTGCAGTTTTTGATTGAAGTATAATAGTTTATAGCTCTATTCCTAGGCCATCCCACCAACAACTCTCTTCAAAATAACTTTAGAAGAAAAGTATATATTCCTTAAGTACTGAGCATTAGCATTGATGGAATGACTCCTTTTCGGTGCCTTCTGTCGACATGGAAATTGTATCAAATGACGGTCACTGCCTACCGTGCCACTGCCATTAGAAGGTTCGAATCACGGAAACCGTTAAGAAACCTTTATCATAGAGCGTCACACGGTACATTGGCATGTAGTTCTCCCAGCAAATCGCTCCACCGATCTTTCCTAACGGCGTGTCAAATACCTGTAAAACGTCCATTCAATAGAAGAATCACAACTCATTTCAATTCCGGGCTTGATCAAAAATACTAATCAAAAAAAGGACTACTAACATTAGTATGGCTAGAAAATGTTTGAAAGGTCATTCCGAAAAATCCAAAGTCTAATAAGCATGTCGCTTCTAGGAATCATACATTTTTGTTCTGGTGGCTGTGGGAAACGGCTCACTACAATAATCTACTTTTATTCTTGAATAAAAATTGACTTTGCAACCTGATTCCGTCAAAAACCGTCAAAAACTAACCGGCATAGTCGAGCCGTCTCCATTTCCCCAAACACATCGTTCTAACGCTGTCGGCATTAATTTCCGATGTTTCCCCATGTATCCATCAGGTCCGTAGTAGAA